CCATCCTGGGCGACATGTCCATCCTGGGCGACATGTCCATCCTGGGCCTTCCCCCAGTGTCACAATGACGCCACCCACAAACTGGAAGAGCAGCACCTCATATTTTGCCTCGGGAGCCTACAGCCTGATGGCCTAAACATGAATTTCACCAGTTTTAGAATCTCCCCACACCTAGCCTCATCCCATGTCCAACCCTCCCCCTCATGCCTGCCTCCTTCACCTGACACAACCTGCCCATCTTCTCTCCCACCTATCCACCCCTCTCATCCCACTAACCACTCCCTACCTGCACTTACCTATCACCATCCCACCTATCTTCCCCAGCCCCATCTCTCCTCCCTCAATTTATTTCAGAGATCCCTTTCCCTTCCCCCATTTCTGAAGAAGGGTCACGACCCAAAACATCAACTTTCCTGCTCCTCTAATGCTGCCTGGCCTGCTGTGTTCCTCCAGCTCCACACTGTTATCACTGTATCACCAGTGTTCTGTAAATTGAAGCATACTTTTGTACTCCATTCAACTCATAATAATAATATTCTTTCCTAATTACTTGCTGTTCTTACATGTTTTGCAATTCATGCACAAGGAGACCCAGGTCTCTTTACATCTCAGTGTTCTGAAATTTCTACCTATTTAGATATTATGCTTCTTTAATATTTTTCCTACCAAAATGGACAATTCACAGTTGCAATGTTGGGAGAATTGCTTCAGAGATGGCCAAGAGGCAAGTTGGCCCCGATATGCTGAAAGGGACGCTGGAGGTGACTATTATCAATAATTAATATTAAAATGTATTAATAGGCAAAATGAAAAATAGTCCATAACCGGAAGGGATAGTGAATATGAATCTAAGAACCAACCAATACTTAGGACTAGAATTTATAAAGAGAGTAAAAGGATAACATGAAAGGCTCTGTATCTGAATGCACACAGCATTTGGGAAAAATGAATTGAGAGCACAAATAGAAATGAATAAGTATGATCTGGTAGCCATCTCAGAGTCATGGCTTCATGGTGGGATGTGAACCTCGAAGGTGACAGGATATTTATGAATGACAGGAAATGACAAGTTAGTTAAATGATAATATTAGCATAAAAGAGAGGGATGCCATAAGTTTGGGAAACCAAGATGAGGAAATAGTTTGGGTAGAAATGAGAATGACAGAAGCAAGAAGTCACTTGTGGGAGTAATGTTATAGAAGGGTAGGGCATGAAGAAATAAATAATAAGAGCTTGTCAGAAAGGCATGACAATAATCATGGGAGATTTTAATCTACATATTGATTGAAAAGTTAGATGGGCAAAGATAGCCTAGATGCTCAACTTTCCAGGGTTTCATTGTTTTAGATGAGATAGAGAATAAGGTAAAAGAGGTAGAGGAGTTGTATTACTATTCAGGGACAATGTCACATGTGCACTCAGAGAGGACATACTGGAAGGGTCAGCCACTGAGGCAACATGGGTACAGCTCAAAAATAAGATGGGTGCAGTCACTCTGATAGGATTATACTACAGCACTCCCCCCACCACCACCACCCCTGGCCAACTGCTTCCGAAGCAGATGCAATAACAACAGCATTATCATTGTGGGTGACTTTAACGTCTCCAATATTGACTGAGACTGCACAACAGGCATAGATGGGGCAGAATTTGTTAAGTGCATCCAAAAGGGTTTCTTGAAACAGTGTGTGGACAGTCTAAATAGAGGTAGGGCCACACTGGACCTTGTATTGGCTAATGAGCCCGGCCAGGTGACTGACCTTTCAGTGGGACAGCATTTTGGAAACAACTCCTTGCGTTTTAAGATAGCTATGAATAAGGATAAGTCAAGACATTGCGGGAAGGTACTAAATTGGGGGAGAGCAAACTATGTCAAATTTAGTTAGGAAGTAGGGAGTGTAAAAATTGGGAGGAGCTGTTATCAGGCAAGTCCACATTTGATATGTGTGAGTTTGAAGGCCTACTGATCGGAATTCAGGGCTGGCATGCTCCAGCAAGAAGGACAACGATGACGAGGTAACGGGCCGCTTGGATAACGAGGGAGGTTGTGAATTTAGTCAAAAAGAAAAAAGATGCATATATAAGGTTTCGAAAGCTAAAAATCAGACAGGGCCCATAAGGAATATATAGAAAACAGCAAAGGACTTAAACAGGGAATTAGGAGAGTGAGGAGGGGCCATGAAATAACTTTGGCAAATGGGGTTAAAGAGAATCACAAGCATTCTATACATACATTAAAAACAAGAGGATAACTAGGGAGAAAGTAGGACCACGCAAGGATAAAAGGAGGGAGCATGTGCTTCGAGGCAGAGGATGTGGGTAAGATCATAAATGAGTGCTTTGTGTTAGTATTCACCTGGGAGAAAGATATGGAGGATAGTGATATTAGTGAGGAGCATGCTTATGTACTAGGGAATTTTGAGATCAAGAAAGAAGTGGTGTTGGATCTCTTGAAGAGCATTAAGGTGGATAAGTCCCCAGGGCCCCATGTTATCTGCCCAAGGATATTGAGAGGCAATAGAGGAGATTGCTGGAGCCTTGACAAAGATCTTTGTATCCTCATTAGCCACTGGAGAGGTTCCAGAGGATTGGCGAGTAGCCAGTGTTGTTCCCCTGTTCAAGGGAAATAGGAATAATTGAGGAAAGTATAGACTGATGAGTCTCACATCGGTGGTTGGAAAGCTATTGGAGAGAATTCTTAGGGATATGAATTAGGTACATTTGGTAAAGCATGGCCTAATTAGGGACAGTCAGCATGGCTTTGTGTGAGGCAGATCACGTCTTACTAGCTTGGTTGAAATTTTTGAGGAGGTGACGAAGGTAATCGATGAGGATAGACCAGTGGATGTTGTGTACATGGACAGAGCATAGAACAAAGAACAATACAGCACAGGAACAGGCCATTCGGCCTTGCAAGGCTGCATTGACACAATTTGCCCTTCCATAGTAGTCTTCACTTACACGATCTGTATCCTTCTATTCCCTTCCTATTCACATATTCACCCAGGTGCTTCTTGAATGCTGCTATTGTTTCTGCATTCACCACCTCCTCCAGCAGCACAACACAGGCATTCACGACTCTCTGTGTGAAAGACTTGCTTTGCATATCTCTTTCAAACTTCTGCCCCACACCTTGAACTTGTGTCCCCTAGTAATTGACCCCTCCACCCTGGGACAAAGCCTCCACTATCCATGCCATTCACAATCTTATAAACTTCTACCAGGTAACCCCTCAACCTCCTGTATTCCAGTGAAAACAAACCCAGTCTATCCTAACTTTCTTCATAGCTAAAATCCCACATACGAGTCAACAATCTGGTTGTACCCACTCCCAAGAATCCACATCCTTCTGGTACTGTGGTGACTAGAACTGTATGCAATATTCCAAGTGTGGCCTAACTAAAGTTATATAAAGCTGCAGCATAACTTGCCTACCCTTATACTCAATACTCCTTCCAATGAAGGCAAGCAAACATGCCATCGGCTTTTTTTTAAAAAACTACCTTATCTACCTGCACTGCTACCTTCAGTGATCTGTGGACTTGCATGCCCAGATCCCTCTGCATATCAATACTCCTAAGAGTTCTGCCATTCACTGTATAACTTCCACCTGTACTTGATCTTCCAAAATGCATTACCTCACATTGTCCTGATTAAATTCCACCTGCCATTTTTCTGCCCACGCCTCCAACTGATCTGTATCCTGCCGCATCCTTTGACAAATCTCCTCATTATCCACAACGCCACTAATCCTAGTATTGTCCGCAATACTACTATTTAGATCAGCCACGTTTTCCTCCAGATCATTTATGTAGACCACAAACAGTAGCGGTCCCAGCACTGAACCCTGTGGAACTCCACTCGTCACAACCTTCCATTCCGAAAAGCATTCTTCCACTGCTATCCTCTGTCTCCTATGACTAAGCCAGTTCTGAATCCATCTTGCCAGCTCACCCATTTTAGTAAAGCTTTCAACAAGGTCCCTCATGGTAGGTACATCCAGAAGATTGAGATGCATAGGATCTCTGGTGACTTGGCTGCATGATTAGCTTACCCATAGAAGGCAGAGGGTAGTGGTGGAAGGGTGATTTTTTTAGGTTGGAGATCCATGACTAGTGGTGTTCTGCAGGGACCCCTACTGGGACCTCTACTGTGTGTGAGATGACTTGGATGAATATATAGATGGGTGGGTTAGCAAGTTTGCAGATGATACAAAGATCGATGGAGTTGTGGACATTGTAGAAGGTTGTCAAAGGATACAGATCAGTTGCAGATAGGGGCAAAGAAATGGCAGTTGAAATTTAAATTATTTATTTGATTCGAGCTTTTATTCAACAATTATTTGTAATTCTATCAAATAGTTTAAATGGTTTAGCTATAAATTCAATACAGTCCAGTCAATTTATATGCTACCATACTTTACAGCAAAACCAAACTTAAAACTTCATAGCTTGGCTAATACTTTTCAATTTCAGCTCACTATTCCCTCTCTGGTATAACTCTTGTTCTGTAAGACAGCAAAATTACACCAAATTCTCTCAGGTCTTCATGCTATCTATACCCTCGTTTAAAATGGCCGTTTAAAAAGTCCCACCTTCGAGCTGCTTCGCCACACATTGCAAATTTTCCTAAACTATTATCTGTGGAATCTGTTACCATCGTCCTTTCAAGCAACGTTCCAAAGTAACATATGATTTGTACTGAACAAAAAAACTGGGCGAATTACTATTGCAATCTAGTATATACTTTCAGTCAAAAAAGTAGAGAGTAGAGTCAAAGTGAAAGTGAAACCAACGGATGTTGTTGGGATCTGTTTGTGGTCCGGAAGTCAGTCGGGGTGGAGAAACCGACTCGAAACGTTAGCTGTGCTTTTCCCTCCGCATATGCTGCCAGACCTGCTGAATACCTAGAGCACTTCGTGGTTTTGTTCATTTTAGATCTCCAGCATCCGCAGTTGTTTGTTTTATTTTAGGTAGTAGCTGTGGCCTGCCGACTGTGGAACATTTCAAGTTCCGCTCCCTTAATGCACGACGATGCGCTGGTTTCTGCTGCTCTTGTGTTTTCCCAGCATCCGGTTTGCTTTGCCCGGACGTTGCAGTGTACAGCAACCGCTTCGTTTCCAGCTTCCGAGCAACATGATTCGAGGGGCAGCTGCTGCTGCTCATTCAGAGAACCTCTTCCAGCAGTTTGTTTGGAAGTATAATCGCAGCTACGCGGCAGGAAGCCCCGAATTCGTTCACAAATACAAAGTATTCCTGGTAGAGTATTGGGCCACGGTCCACTATATTATCTCCCTGGCTGTGTGCAGTGTGACTGTTGGCAAAGTCAGATCGAAACTTGGAAATAACAAGGTGTAGAGCTGGATGAACACAGCAGGCCAAGCAGCATCAGAGGAGCAGGAGGGCTGACGTTTCGGGATGCTGCTTGGCCTGCTGTGTTCATCCAGCTGTACACCTTGTTATCTCAGATTCTCCAGCATCGGCAGTTCCCATTATCTCGAAACTTGGAATCTCGCTTTTAGTTAATAAGACATGGTGTGCAGCACATTGAAATAAAGGATCATTTTTACTTTGAATAGTGGATCAGATTACAAGGAGACACATCGTCAACGCTTCAACAGATTTGCTTACGATGTTTTGGATTTCGCTACTTCTAGGATTCGTGGTTTATTACGCTGCGGAATAACTCGAATTTGGCATTCCTCAAAATGGGATATTTTTGACGTGTTTTGTTTGATTTAGCAAGCTGTAAGGAAAGCACAATAATAAGTTAGAATATCGTGAGAAAATAGTAGCCGAAAAGGCATTTTGCAGCCAAATAAATAGCCACAGAAATTAAAAAGTTAATAAGCCTAAGCTAGTGATAGCACAGTGTGGAGCTGGAGGAGCATAGCAGGCCAGGCAGCAGCAGAGGAGCAGGAAAGTTGACGTTTCGGGTCGGGACCTTTCTTCAGAAATACCTAAGGTAGTGCCTTGTTTTTCTTCCCAGTCAGCAGGAAAACAACAGTGCTGTACCCTGACACTGAAGAAAGATGTCCACAAAGAATTAGTGGTTTCTGTGGTATTGTTTTCTTGACATCAGTGTGAAAGTGCTGTCAGGTGTCTGGCAACAGTTACTGGCAAACAGGGTATGCAGCATCAAATCACTCGCTTATATGCTTACAGCCAACAGACCAGGCAGTTTAAAGTACTAAATCCCTTCACATTTATTATTGTCAATATTTAGATAGTGGAATCAATGTTTTTATTACATTAGGATAGAACTTAAGTAACATTTTTTTCTTAAAAGCATGGGGAATTTCTCACAATGAGATGTTTGGCATTCCATAAGTTTAGTTTTCCAGGACAACTGATGGTGTTTAGTAGTAATAGTGAAGTTAGTTGCTGTTGAGTAATTTACTTCTCCATGGGCACATGAAAATGGAGGGATGTGGACCAAGGGCATACAGAATTGCAGTTCTGAAGAAGGGTCACTAGAGCCAAAACGTTAACTCTAATTTCTCTTCACAGATGCTGCGAGACCTGCAGAGCTTTTCCAGCAATTTCTGTTTTCGTTTCTGATTTACAGCATCTGCAGTTCTTTGGGTTTTTATTCAGTTCAGGAGAATAGTTTGACCCAAGAAGAAAGGCAGGTTACTTTATGAAGTCTCCCAAGTTGTGAGGGTTTGTATCGAAGGTTTCAAGTTACCAGAACTGAAAGGGACAGAATGTTAGAAACATTACAGTCCAGAAAGACTCAATTTATCATCTGGCGTCTGCACTGGCTGAATAAACTAGCTACCTATTCTCTTCCTGCTCACCAGCACACTGCCCATAATCTTGCCAGTTACAGAGCTTCAAGTGCAGATTCAGGTTACTTTTAAGTGAGTGGAGGGCTTCCACCTGAATCACCAAGCTGGCAGAGAGTTCCAGATACCCACCGCCTTCTGAAAAAAGTTTCTCCTCATGACCCCTCTAATCCTCCTACCAAGGATTTTAAATGTATCACCTTTTCACTAGGGGGAAGAAATAAAACCTTCCTGTCCACTCTATCCACGCTCATTATTTTGTGCACCACAAAGCCTCCTCTGTTGTAAGGAAATCACCTCAGTCTACCCAATCTTTCCTCATAGCTGCAATTTCCAAGCCCTGCCAATATAAAACATAAGATATAGGAGCAGAAATTGGGTCATTCAGCCCATCGAGTCTGCTCTGACATTTGATCATGGCTGATGTTTTTCCAACCCATTATCCTGCCTTCTGCCTATGACCTTATATTCTTGATTAGTAAGGGGATCTATCTCAGTCTTAAATACACTTAATGACTTGGCCTGCACAGCCTTCTGCAATGTCTTTGACAGATTCACCACCTCCAGCTGAATAAATTCCCCTTCATCTCAGTTCTAAAGGATCATCCCTTCACTCTAAGGTTGTACGCTCAGGTCCTGGTCTCTTCTACTAATGAAAACATCTCCATGTCCATCCTATCCAGACCTCTCAGTATTCTGTAAGTTTCAATCAGATCACCTCATCCTTCTAACTTCCATCAAGTACCTAGAGTCCTCAAATGCTCCTCATCTGACAAGCCCTTCATCCCTGGAATGATAACTGTGAACCTCCTCTAAACTGCCAAGTCCAGCACGTCCTTCCTAAAAGTTTTGGCAAAGATCTGTAGTTCGGGTTGTGGGTGAGGTTATTGACTTGCTCGCCGAGCTGGCTTGTTCTCATTCAGACGTTTCGTCACCATGCTGGGTGACACTATCAGTGGAGCCTCCGGTGAAGTGATGTTATTCTACTCCGCTTGGAATTTATACTGTTTGGTCCGTTATGGTGAGTAGTGTCATTTCCGGTTTTGATCTGTATGGGTTTGATTATGGGGTCCAATTCTATGTGTTTGTTGATTGCATCACGGGTGAAGAACCATGCCCCTAGGAATTCCCATGTGTATCTCTGTTTGGCTTGGGCTACTATGGTTACCTTGTCCCAGTTAAACTGATGGCCTTCATTGTCTGAGTGTACAGATATTAAGGAGAGTTCATCGTGCCATTTTGCTGCTAGTTGATATCCATGCTAGTTTCCTTCTTGTCTGTCCGATGTAATGTTTATGGCAGTCATTGCATGGTATTTTGTAAACCATGTTGGTTATGCATGTTGTGGGAATAGGGTCTTTAATCTTGTGTGTGTTGCTGTAGAGTGGCTGTGGCTTTGTGGGCCGCCATGATTCCTAGTGGTCTTAAGAGTCTTGTTGTCAGTTCCGATATGTTCTTGATGTAGGGCAGTGTGTTAGGGTGTACTGTGTCCTCCTATTGTTGTCTGTTTAGTAGGCATTTGTGGATGAAGTTGCAGGGATATCTGTTTATAGCGAGGTTTTGTATAGGTGCTTTTCCTCGTTCCTGCGTAGTTCTGGAGTGTTGCAGTGTGTCCTGGCCCATTTAAATAGTGTCCAAATGCGGCTTTGTTTGTGGACGTTGGGGTGGTTGCTGTGGAAGTTGAGGATTTGATCAGTTTGGGTTACTTTTCTGTATACCGAGGTTTAGAACTCCCCGTTGGTCATATGCTCAACTTTAACATCCAGAAACGGAAGCCGATTGTTGTTTTCTTCTTCCCTTGTGAATTTAATCCCTGCGAATACGCTGTTGATAAAGTGGTGGGTCTTTTCTAATTTCTTGCGTTTAATAATGACAAATGTTTAGTCGACGGATCACCCATTCCATCCACTCAACCCAAGATTTCCCTCGATACCCTCAAGCACATAAAAATCAGCGGAGGAGATTATGGTATCCTTTGACATCACAGCTTTATTCACATCAATCGACACCCCACTAGCCAAAGAAACAGTGACTATAGTACTAGAGGAAACAGCAATGGAGACCAGCAGCTCCATCAGTAATGATAACATACTCAAACTACTAAACCTCTGCCTCACCACACGCTTCATCTTTAATGGTCGAATATGCAAACAGATCAACAGTACACCAATGTGGTCACCCATCACAGGACTCATTGCAGAAGCAGTCATGCAAAGTTTAGAACACACCACCCTCCACCGCATTCAACTGAAACAAAACGCAACAAAATTAAAAGAGACCCACCACCTCATCAATCAACTTACGTTTCTGGATGTTAAAGTTGAGCATATGACCAATGGGGAGTTCCAAACCTCGGTATACAGAAAAGTAACCCAAACTGAACAATTCCTCAACTTCCACAGCAACCACCCCAACGTCCACAAACAAAGCTGCATGAGGACACTATTTAAACGGGCCAGGACACACTGCAACACTCCAGAAATGCGCAGGAATAAGGAAGAGCACCTATACAAAATCCTCACTATAAACAGATATCCCTGCAACTTCATCCACAAATGCCTACTAAACAAACAACAGGAGGACAAAGTACACCCTAACACACTGCCCTACACCAAGAACATATTGGAACCGACAAGACTCCTAAGACCACTCGGAATCATGGTAGTCCACAAGCCCACAGCCATTCTACGACTAACACTCAAGGATAAAAAACCCCATTCCCACAACATGCAGAACCAACGTGGTTTACAAAATACAATGCTACGATTGCCACAAGCATTACATCAGACAGACAGGAAGGAAACTAACCATCAGAATACATGAACATCAACCAGCAGCCAAACGGCACAACTAACTGCCCTTAATATCTGTACACTCAGACAATGAAGGCCAACAGTTTAACAGGGACAAGGTAACCATAGTAGCCCAAGCCAAATGTAGACACACACAGGAATTCATAGAGGCATGGTTCTCCACCCGTGATGCAATCAACAAACACATAGAATTGGACCCCATAATCAAACCCATACAGATCAAAGCTGGAAATGACGCTACTCACCATAATGGACCAGACAGTATAAATTCCAAGTGGAGTAGGATAACATCGCTTCATCGGAGGCTCCACCAACGCTGTCACCTAGCATGGTGACAAAATGTCTGAACAAGAGCAAGCCAGCTCGGTGAGCAAGTCAACAACCTCATCCTTTCCTTAGATATTGGGCCCATTTTTGTAAATCCTTTCTGCACTCTGTCGAGCAGAACTGTATATAAAACTCCAGCTATGAGTTAAGCAGTATATTATATAGTTCCAGAATGCTCCTGCATTTAGTATCTTGCCTCATAAAGGAAAGCATCACACATTACCTACCTGTTCTGCCATCTCAGACTTGTGAGCATGCAATGCCAGGTCTCTCTTTTTCTATTTCTCTCAATTCTCCCCCATTTATTGTGTATTCTCTTGCTTTGTTTATCCTTCCCAAATGCATAACCTCACATTTCTCTGGATTGAATTTCATATGTCATTTTTCCACTCACTCAACCAAACCATGATATCATTCTGCAATTGATAGGCATCCTCGATAGGCTTCCTCTTTAATATCAATTATCCTGCCAATTTTTTTTCTCATCTGCAAATTTCCCAATCATGCTTTCCAAATTTAAGCCAAAATCAATGTAGATCAGAAACAGTAACAGATTCAAAACTGAGCTCTGTGGAACATCACTGGAACCATTTACAAAAACGTTTGTCAACCATTATCCTTTGTTTCCTGTTACTGAGCCAATTTTGAATTCAACTGAAAACATTCCCAAGTCCAATGGGCCTTAATTTTTCCAACCAGTTTGTCATCTGGAGACTTTGTCAAATGCTTTTTAAAATCCATGCATTCAACATCCATGATACTAACCTCATCAATTTTACTTCCTCAGAAAATTCAATTAAGTTTGTAAGACATGACCTCCCCTTAATAAAATCGCACTGATGATCCCTGATTAAACTATGCCTCTCCAAGTAATAGTTAATCCTATCTCTCAATCTTGACTCCAGTAATTTGCCAATCACAGAGGTCAGACTCACCAGCCTGTAACTATTGTGGTGTATTTCTTCATACTCTTTTTGAATAATGATACAACATTTTCACCCCTCCAGTCCTCTGGTGCCTCACACGTATCTAATGAAGATTAGAAAATGATGCTCAGAACATCTGCTGTTCCTTTCCTGACTTCCTAGGGTACAATTCATCTGGACCTGGTTATTTATCTTTTAGGGAGGTCAGTGCCTCCAGTACTTTCCTTCTCATTATGTTTATTTTATCTAATATTTCACACTCCTGTTTAATTAGAACGTCAACAGCATCACTCTCCTTTGTGAAGTCAGAGACAAAATACCTGCCCAGATCTTTTGACTTCATGTACAACTTATCATTGAGGTGACCAAGTGATTGGACAAGGGTAGGGCACAGTTGAAGTAGTTCATATGCATTTCAGTAAAGCCTTTGATAAAATCCTACATAGGAAACTGATAAGTGCTCATGGGATCCAGGGTAACTTGGTAAGTCGGATCCAAAATTGGCTTAGTGACAGGAGGGAGAGGGTGGTGGTAGAAGGCTTTTTTATGAGCCTGGAACCCAGTGTGTGGTTGCATTCCACAGGGATCAGTGCTGTGTCCCTTATGTGGGAGAGAATGTTGAGGGTTGCTAAGTAAGTTGGGAGATAGCACGAAGATTGGCCGAGTTGTTGACAGTGAGGAGGAAGGTTATAGCAACATATAAATGGATTGGTAAGGTAGGAAGATTGACAGCACATGGAATTTAACCCTAATAAATGTTAAGTGATGCACTTTGAAAGAAGTAACAAGATAAGCAAGTACTCAACAAATGGAAAATCTCAATCTTAAAAAGTACTTGGATAAGCATTGAAGTGTCTCTTTTCATGCTTGCTAATTCTTTTCTCCAATTTATTTCTCTTTTTACTTCTACATACCTTTTTTAGTAACATACCCTATTTTAAATATGTTACTTTGTGATAGTTTTCTGGTACCTTGGGAGCCAGATTTTATTGAGATGCAAAATACACCAAAGATTAAATAAAAGCTGCTTCCAAGGGTTGGTTTTTCAGTTCATTAAACTGTAGAAAATTAAATGCAAACCTGATCAGAGACTTCATGGAATGGATAAACCTTTCAATTTTTCAATATGATATTGACTGGTTCAGAAAATAGTTTAAATTGGTCCATTACCACTGAAAGGTATTGCCAGTGATATATTTTAATCGTTCATTTTTAGTTATGTTATTTTTGTTATGTTATTTTTCATATATTTTTGTTCAGTTGGTGTTGATTGTTTCTATGTTGCTTATTTTAGTTTTGCCATGACTCATTTATTAGAGATGAAAAGTAATTTCATTAATTTAGATATTTTGAATTCTTAACAAGTAAAAGAACAAAATATTTATAATCTTACATTTACATTTCCTTGATGCACTAGTAAAAGTCTAAGATCAGTTGAAGATCAAAAATTCTTATCATTAGTTGTTATTTGCATATCCAATGTTTTGAAACAAAAGAGAAATTTAACAACCAAAGTTAATTACTTTTAGTTGGTTTTTCAAAGAAGGGAAACCAGATTAATTCACACACTGCTAAGTTCATTTTTGGAATTTACAGAAAATATTTTTTAAATTGTTCAATTTCTGATGCTTCATAACGGAAACACACTTTATTTGTAGGAAAGCATACAGAGACACTACTCTCTGAATCTTATTTCTTCAATCTTGTTGAATGAAAGTGGCTCCGCTATTTATGGAATCAACCAGTTCTCCGATATGCCACCTCATGTATTTAGAGGTAACGTTTTGTTACATTTCATAGCATGTATATTAATATTTAAAGCTTGTAATTCTTAGGCACAGTGTACTAAACTTTGAATAATTGGCATTAAATATGTTTGTTATACCTTTTGGTTAACAGAATTTTGAAACAATCACAATTTTAAATTCAAATGCTGGGACATCATTGGACATAATTCTTAGAGCACACCGTGTGAAGTAGTAAGTTATGTGGAACTCTGGAGGTTTGTGTTGCACATGAACATGTTATTCCTAAATCATATTGGAATGACAGAATGTAACTGGTAGTTAAAAAAAAAGAGAGGATCCCAGTTCTTGTCATTTTTCCATTTTGTTAGTTTTAGGTCCGCATTGGCTTCTCTCCACGTTTTAGTTCCACTAAATTGGCTAAAACTGGCTATGTAAAAAAATGTGGCAAGACGACTTAGGAACAACTTACTGACTGTACTATAATGTTCTACCATTGGACAACCATGAAAGATTTCCTCTTTGGTTTTGACTTTGGTACAAAAGATGAACTGAGGAAATCTAACACTTTTGCTCTGAATACTTCCCAAGTTATAAGCTAGATTCTCATTGAATTATGGCAACTGTCCAAAATGAAACTGGATCTTGAAGTCCCACCATTATTTCCAGCAGACCCTATTTTCACTGGTAGCGGAAAGAGAACAGAATATGTGAACAGTGGTGGAAACACAAACTCAGCAAGGCATTTGAACTGATTGCTGTGTACAAACAGACTCCATTTTCATTGGAGCGTGGACCAGTGTGGGAGTTACAGATTTTTAAGAGTAGATGAAAAAAGTGTAAATAGTGAATGAGGTCTATAAATCTGTTCAGTGATTTAATTTTCCAACCCTTTAAATTTCAGAAAAGAAAATTCCCTGCCTGTGTCTGATATGACATTGTGGTATCAATATCTTTTTGTTGACACAACTTTGAGTATTAGATGCCTACTTCCACAATCTGTCATTACCATAAAGTGGTAGTTCAGAGTTTGGTTGACAGCTCCGAGAAGCTATCCGTGGATTAGCTATTTTTGTGACCTGGTGAATACAAATATTTAAGCGATTATGATGTTAAGGTGATTTAGTTGTAGTGAAGCACCTTCAATGAAGGAAACTGGCATCATTATATAGTGAAGTCTGTTATTGATACTTCAAACTTAATTTCATCTTACCATGGTTCTTGAGTTTTACCTAGTGCGAATGCTGTGCAAGTTGGCATGAAAGTTGATTATAAAAGGTAGTTGGAGGGGTTTCGTTGGCTTGGCATGTCATGAGCTGATGTTAAGTTTGTATAGAGGCTAGATTAAGCCGTAGAAGCAAGTGGCGTTCATGTTCTGGCACTAAATTGTTTTAGGAGACATTAGGGTATGTTGAGGATGGGTCCGGGGCATGGATTGACGTGGTGCATGTGAGAGGCAAGTCGGGTGGATGTAAGGATGTAGGGACTGGGTGGAAAGATGAGTGAGAGGCTGTGAGGAGTGAGCACTAGAGGTTCTAACATTTAACAACTCAACTGCGACAAAGTCCCAGAAAAATGAGGTGGCCCTTTTAATAAGCCTGCTTCAGCACTATGCTGTTCTTGTGACTGTCACCAATTTCTGTCCAGGAGTGGCAGGCCCCACTCTCTCTCACACCTTAACACCCCTGGCCCTAACCCTGAAGTGAGAATTCTGCCATTTGGATGCTTCTTCCCAAGATATGTTCCATAACTAGGATATTTCCTTGTGTCTGAAACAAATATCAAGGTATTAGTCTAGTTTGATTGCATGTGCATAGAGGAGAATGTATACTGTACAAACATGGAGTGCTAGAGTGAGTATGCAGTGAATCCAGCTCATAGTAGATTTGTTGTAGGAGTCAGAACTGACAGAGATAGATATGTACAATCTCTAAGATCTGCCACCTTTTCCTGTCGGTGTAATTTATCCTATAGTGTATGCTGATTAAATTGAGAGTTGAGATTCCAGGATTATATATATTCTGATTTCAGTCTGATTGTATATGAACAGGACTTCAAACAGTTGAGTTCACACTAAAGCTCACTGTCCTGTGATACATTTCTGTGTGAAATTTTAGAGGTATTAAAACCTTCTATTTTAAAATTAATCATAAATTGCATGAAATAACAACCAGTAGAATTAGCATGTTAAAAATTACTGTACAACTTTGCTTGATGGGCGTATTATTATCTATTTACAGATGAATAAGCTTAATGTATAAGGATTTGTACAATTATATGTTCACAGTTTACTAAACATTGACATGAAACAAGGAGTTAAAAAATAATATTTTATAATTAAACCCACAGCAACATATTTGAGTTCAAGATCAGTGCAACTTCCGAAATATACATCAGTTCTTAAGGATACCAAGACACGAGCATTACCACCAAAATTTGACTGGAGAGACAAGAATGTTGTCACACCCGTGCGAAATCAAAAATCTGTAAGTTTCATTTTTTCCTATATCTGCTGGAAATATATATAGATGAGCACTAAAACTCGAATGCATATTATGTGCCTACCCCTAAAGCAAGTTCTCTGAATTGTGAAGTCATGTTGAGGTTGTACACAACATCAGTGAGGCCTCTTCTGTAGTACTGTGTCCAGTTCTGGTCGCCCAGTTATAGGAAGGATATTAAGCAGCTGGATAGAGTCCAGAAGAGATTTACCAAGATGTTGCTGGGTATGGAAGGTTCTAGTTATAAAGAAAGGCTGGGTAGGCTGAGACTTTTTCCTGCTGGAGCATAGGAGGTTGAGAGGTAACCTTATAGAGGTTTATAAAATGAGAGGTATAGGTAGGGTTAATGGTAGTTGTCTTTTCCTTATAAACGAGGGATTTCAAGATTGGGGCCACATTTTTAACGTGAGAGGAGAGAGATTTTTAAAAAAAAGACATGAGCGGCATTTTTCTTTTAATTTACACTGAGGATAGTTCACTTGTTGAATTAACTTCCTGAGAAAGTGGCCATTGTGGGCACAGTTACAACATTTAAAAGACACTTGGATAAATACATGAATAGGAAAGGTTTGGAGGGATATGGGACAGGATCAGGCAGGTGGGACTAGTTTAGTTTGGAATTATGTTTGCTATAGACTAGTTGGACTGAAGGGTACGTTTCCATGCTATGTGATTCTAATCTTTACATATCACTCTATTCTGTGTCATTCTTTTCATTTGCCAGTAACTTTGTTCAATTTTCAAGCTATCCAATATTGATATTCTCTTCCCTCCCCTTCCTGTTTTGCCTTGAAATCTTCCCTCTTTAACATCTCTTACCAGCCTGTTTCCTCTTTAAAATGTGCTGTGTCCAGAGTCTCTGCCTTTTCCTAATTATGATTTACGAATTCTTTGTTCATCCAGTTAGCAATTCATTATTTGTGACGGTTTTCTGCCAAGGTGATCCTTTCTAATCACGCTCATATTTCAAAAGGTATTCCTTCCATAAAATCCACATCCTCCATTCAAGCAAAACAATACTCCAAATCAAGCTCTTTACAAGTCACTCTTTGAGCTGAGTTTTCAATTTTCTAAATATGGTGTCTCCTGTTGCTATCCTTGTTCTTATTTCTTAATTACATCTTCTATATGCAGATATAATGTTTCCTACTTGAATTCTTGTTTTTAAAAAAAACTCTGCAGATTCTAGAAAGAGGAACTGAAAGGTCTGGCAGGGTCTGTGCAAAGAAAAACAAGTTAACATTTCAAGCCCAATGTAATACTTCATCATCCACACCAACGTGCATAACCACTAACCTTGCACATTCTCTTTGCAACCTACTTGTTCGCTTAGGAAACATCCCTAAACCCCTCACCAACAGCAGTAGCTTTTTCCGTCCACTTTCATCTTTTGTAATACCTGCCTCTCATTCATTCCAGGAACAAAACAACTGACAATAGGGCAGAAAGAGAGAAGACTCACTTCTGATCAGTGAAGGATCCTGACTCTGACCACCCTAAGTAGGGCTTACACTGATGCTAGAGGCTTCACTTGATTTACTGTGCTGGAATTTCTTCAGCAAAGGCTATGCCCCTTGACTGAACAGAGGCCTGCTGATACCTGTGGCAAGCTTCCTGGCTTTGTATCTGAGCTAAATGGCATGGCAAAACAGTGGTAATGTGAACCTGATATCTCTGGCTAAGGGGGCAATGCACAAAAAGCAAGGCAAGGCAATGCAAGGCAGGAGTGCTGCAAGCATCCAAGTAAGGTCAGAGTCAGCGAGCACTACACAGCAAACAAGCCTGGTCCACTCCATGAGATGGGTGTGTGTCCCTGAGCGCAAAGTACCCTTACCACAGTTATTACAACGATAGTTGCTGGAGCAGCCCAAGGTGCATCCCTGGAGGGCAGAAGCATTATTGAAGTAACAAAGTACAAAGTACAAAGAGAATAAATAACAGTACAGCAAAGCATCAGGCCCTTTGGCCCACGAAGACTGCACTGACACATGATGCCTTTCTAAACTAAAAAACTTTTGCCTCTTACATGGACCATATCCCTCTATTCCATGCCTATTTTTATATCTGTCATTGCTATTTTATGGCTGGAATGTGTTACCACTTTCTCTCGTAGCACATTCCAGCTACCACCTTCTGTGAAAAACTTGCCTCTCACATCTCCTTTAAACTTACCCCCTTTTACTTTAAACCTGTGTCCACTAGTAATTGACATTTCTGCCCTGGGGAAAAAAGACTCCGACTATCCATTCTATCCATGCCCCTCAGAAGTTTACAAAATTATATCAGGTCGCCCCTTATCATTCGATGATCAAGTGAAAACAAACCAAGTTTGCCCAATCTCTCCTTGTAACTAATCACCTCCAAACCAAGCAACTTCCTGGTAAACCATTCCGGTACCCTCTCCAAATCTCCACATCTCCACATTGTTCTGGTAGTGTGGCAAACAGTATTCTAAATGTGGCCTAACTAAAGTTCTATACAGCTGCAACATATCTTGCCAATTTTTATACTCTATGCCTTCTTCACCATCTTATCCACTTGTATTGCTACTTTCAGAGAAGTGTGGACTTGTACCTCTGTACGTTGATGCTGCTAAGGGTTCTGCCATTTACTGTATACTAACCTACGTTAGATCTTCCAAAATGTATCACCTCATGTTTGTCCAGATTAAACTCCATCTGCCATTTCTCCACCTAAGTCTTAAGCCTATCTGTATCCTGCTGTATCCTCTGACAATCCTCCGCTTCCCCAATCTTGGTGTCATCTGCAAATTACCACCTGCATTCTCCTCCAAATCATTTAGAAGCAATAGGGTCCCAGTACTGATCCCTGCATAATACCACTGGTCACAGACCTCCAGTCAGAAAATCTCTTCCACCACAAATGTTTGTCTTCTTTGACTGTGCCAGTTATATATCTACCTTGCCATCTCATCGCAGAACCAATGTGACTTCACTTTTTGGATCAGTTTGCCATGAGGAGCCTTGTCAAAGGCCTTGCTAAACTGCAAACAGACAACATTTCCAGCCCTATCCTCAATGATCTTGGTCACTTCCTCAAAAAACTCAATCAAGTTTGAGAGTCATGATCTTCCCTGCATAAAACCATATTATCTATCACTAATAAGCCTGTATTTTTCCAAAATGTGGGTAGATCCTATCCCTAAGAATCTTCTCCAATAATTTCTATGCCACTGATATAAGGCTCATTGGTCTGTAATTTCCTTGATTATCCCCATTGCCCTTCTTAAACAAGGGATAAAATATGTGACATGAAAGTTCATAGAGGATGCCGCATGTCGAGATCCAATGTCTTTGGATGTGGGGATGGATTTAGCCGGTGCCCAGTAAGAACACCGGAACAGAAACAGGTTATTCAGCCTGTTGAGCCATTTAAAATGATCTTGGCTGATCAGACACTTCAGTGTCTTTTACTCACCACATCCTCATACCCCTATTTATCACGCAATTTCTGTCTTACACATAAGATGAAGCCTCCACAGCTCTCGGAGTAAAAAATTTCTTCTCATTACAGATATAAATGGCATGCTTTATTTTTAAATTGCAACCCCGGCTTTAGACTCCACAATTGGAGAAAACATCTAAATTTGCATCTACCTTGTCAGTACACTTTTTCTGTATTCATTTGTGGGCATCACTGGCTGAGCCAGCATTTCTTGCCCATCCCAGTTGCCCTTGAGAAGGTGGTGGGGAGCTGCCTTCTTGAACCGCTGCAGTTCTCCTGCTGTGGAGTGACCAACAATGCTATTAGGGAGGGAATTCCAGGATTTTGACCCAGCGATAGTGAAGGAACGGCGATATATTTCCGAGTCAGGATGGTGAGTGACTTGGAGGGGAACATGGAGGTGGTGGTGTTCCCATATGTCTGATGACCTTGTCCTTCTAGATGGAGGTGGTTGTGGGTTTGAAAGGTGCTGTCTGAGGATCTTTGGTGAATTTCTGCAGTGCATCTTGTAGATAGTACACACTGCTGCTACTGAGCATCAGTGGTGGAGGGAATGAATGCTTGTGGATAAAGTGCCAATCAAGCGGGCTGCTTTGTCCTGGATGGTGTCAAGCTTCTTGAGTGTTGTAGGTTTCAATGAAATCAGCTCTCATTCTTTGACACTAGAGAATACAGGCCCAGTTTAAACAATGTCCCAGGACAGGTGTGGTGAACTATTGTTGCACATCCTCCATTGCAATAATACCTTTCCTGAGATAATGAGACAAAAACTGCACACAGTACTCCAGGTGCAAACTGACCAAGCTCCTATGCAATTGAAACAAGATTTCACGACTCCTGAACTCACTCTTCTTGAAATAATGGCTAATATTCCATTAGCCACTTTGATCTCTACTCATGGGAGATTTCATGTAGCTTCCTCGGTGAAAACTGATGCAAAGCAATCCTTTAGCTCCTCTGCCATTTCTCTATTCCCTGTAATAAATTCTTCATGCCTTTTAATGTATTTTCCCGATCAACCTCAGCCAGTGCATACCTCTTGCCTTCAACATATTGCTGCAGAAAATCATTCCTAACACTCCAGAAACTCACCCTCCACTACTTTAACGCTCAGTTGATTCACTCTGTCTATGTGCAGATTGAAATTATAGAGTGATAAAGGACAGTACACAGCACAGAGAAAAGACCTTTGGACTGTTGAGTCTGTACTGGTCAAAGATAATCACCTAACTATTCTAATTCCATTTACCAGCACTTACGCATAGCCTTGTGGGCCTTGGCATCACAAGTCTACATCTAAAAACATCTTCAATATAGTGAAGGTTTCTGCCTCTACCACACTTAAAGATTGTGATTTCCAGATTCCCAACCTCCTCTTGATGAAGGAAATTTCCTCACATCCCCTCTAAACCCCTTGTCCCTTACCTTAAATCTATGCCCCCAATCATCAAACCTTGCACCAAGGGGAAAAAGTTTATGCATCTCATTTTCTACATCTCAAATCATGTCCCTCCTCGGTC